AAGAAAGAAAGAAAGAAAGAAAGAAAGAAAGAAAGAAAGAAAGAAAGAAAGAAAGAAAGAAAGAAAGAAAGAAAGAAAGAAAGAAAGAGAAAAATTATGCCAAAGAAATCTATTGTTCTACCTATAGCTAATATTAAGCATTGCAAAATTCATCTCCATAATTTCACTCAGGTAGCTAGCTACGAATCAGCTATCTGCCATAGGACAGATGGCAGTGTCTCAAGCTATGAGAAAACCTTAGCAGCTACTCTTCTGTCTGCCCCACCCTGACTAGTAGCAATTTTCAGATATATGGAAACTTATTAACATTTAATTGCAACCCTTACCCCCACCAAGCTAAGGAGTCTTTGGAGAAACCAGTCTGTCCGTTTAGGTGAGGATTAGTCATGGGAGCTACAATTGCAACACATAAACATAATGAGGTCTATGTGCTTCAAAATTTCAAACTCACAGCCATTTCCATGGGTCTTGCAGGGTGATGCACTATTGTTGCCGCTGGCAGGAAAGATGCAAAGGATCAAGGCTGTGCATTACAGCCAACATTGTGTTTTCAAAAACTTGCTGGATTTAGCTTCTGCCTCTCTGACCTTCCCCTGCCATCACTTCTTCCTTTGCGAATGGTATTTTGTCAGCCCATATCTCATTTTTTGAGACATTTTATATGTGGGAGAAATTGTGCAGTGAGTACTTGGCCACCATGATGCTGGTAGAAGAGGCTGGGTGCTATATGTTGTATCTGAAAGGGTCCCCCAGCTCCAGTGTGCGCCCAGAAACACCTTGGTGGGAGCAGAAGGGCTGAAGCACTTCTCTGGCTATGCTGCTCCTGGAAAATTCCTGAGCTAAATGAGGCATCGCTATCTACTTACTTAATCACTATTACTCCCATTTTAAGGACGGTCAGTTTACTTCCACGAGCAATGAAACTATGCCTGGGATGCTCACGAGGCAAAACACTCTTGTATTTCACATATGAACAAGGCTTTGTGTTTAGAGTAATGGAGTCTGGAATGAGGGAGTCCCAGGAAAAGGTGAATCTGGGAGAGAAGTGTAGAGGTTGGGAAATGAGACAGGTATGACATCTGTGGACTGAAATGAAGAGCTACGTAGTCCTATCTTATGGAAGCCGGTCATTTTATGTATTTTCTGAAAAATATGAAAGTAATGGAGAGCCAGAACAAATCTCACATCATAAAGTGGTCATTCTTCTCTCTTCTGTGATTCAGGCTTCCCTCTGCTTGTTCCCACTGACTTGACACTGCTGACAACAAATTTGATTTGAAACTAATTTTTTCAAATTTCATGAATCTATTTTTCTAAAAACTCTTATGGAGCCCTAAACAAAATCACTCTGTCTCTATCAGCCTGTCGCTCCCTTTTCCTCTCCCTCTGCTGTTATTTTAGGATTTCATATAATTCAGCGGTGAGAACCTCTAACACCCCTTGAGGTGAGTTGAATGAAGCATTGCACTGCATGACATGTCATTCGATGGGATATGATGACATACTCATCACAGCCTTGCAGGTGTGTAACTGCTGGTTTTTCTTTTGCAGGTACGGGTTCATAGAAGGGCACGTAGTGATCCCCCGCATCAACCCTAACTCCATCTGTGCCGCAAACAACACAGGGGTGTACATCCTCACCTCCAACACTTCCCAGTATGACACGTACTGCTTCAATGCTTCAGGTTGGTTCCAAGTGAATTGTCTGTGTTTTGGGTTGCTTTTGGCAGGCAAGCCTGTGGCAGAATGGCTAACAGCAGTTCAATCTTGGCTTAAGTGGGGATTCATGTAGCTTCCAGATGCTCACAGAATATCTCTACAGCAGAGACAAGATTCCTCTCTCCAGGGTGCTTACTTGCTAAGTTGGGGAGGTCAACAGTAAATGAATAAATAATAAATACCTTATATGAAGTCAGAAAGTGACAAGAGCTATAAATGAGAAAGCAGAACAAAAGGCTAAGGATGCTTTTGTTTTGAGATGCTAAGGATGCTTTTGCTCTGAGAAGGTGGTCAGGTAAAGAGCCCCTGAGGAGGTGTGTCTAGGAGAGCCCTGAGTGAAGTGAGGGAGGAAGGCCATGGCAGAGCGGACAGAGTGGACAGCCGGTGCAAAGCCAGCCCTGTTCTGGGAACAGCAGGAAGGCCAGGGTGGATATAACCCAGTGATCAAGGAGAGAATGCCAAGAAATGAAGTCAGAGAGTGAGTAAGTGCCACATAAGTCCTTGTAGGCCATAGTCAAGAGTTTGGATTTTGTTCTCAGTGTGATGGGAAGTCACCGTAGGGTTTTGAATAGGGGAGTGACATGAATCTAATGATAGCATTGGGGTACAAGCCAAATGGCTTAGTTTAGAGGTATTTATTATACGTTGGGACTGGAGAGAAGGCTGGGAAGATATATGGTAGGCCTTTGACCCTGTTGAGTGTCGTTATCCAATAATTGAGAGCCTGACAACTAGAGAACAAGGAAGCCAAGTTAAGATTTGCACGCTGGGCTGCTGGCCAGGCCCCCTCCCTGTCTATGGGACTTGCTTCCCACTACCGGCCTAGAAACACATGCTCACAAGTCCAATACTGGCCCCAGCAAAACTAAAGAATTCTATGCATCATGAATCTTCAAGATCTTTTGAGAAGGGTCAAACCCATAAATGTCAAAGTTTTGAATACCAACAGTCAAATGTCTTACTTCTCAAACTGGGCCTTCTGTTCTCCCTAAAGGTTTAAGATTGTGTGAAGGGGAGGAAGAAGCCATGAGGTAAACCTGACACGTCTTCTTGACATATCAGGTTTCCTTAAAGACAGGAAGGGGATATTAAATTAGCTGGAAAGTGACTTAAGACACTTTCTGTATGAAACAAACACAGATATTATTATATGATGACTTAAGGCATTTTTATGAGACAAACAGATATTATATATGGTAGTAGACTATAAAATCGGCATGGATTTTTAAGCTAAAGTAGGGACATCAAAGAAATTGCGAGATTACATCAGTTAGCTTTAGGCTACGCCACCCACCTACTGCCCTTGCAAGTAGTAGGGATCAGAGTGGAATTCAGAGGATTTTAAGATAAAGGGAAAGTATCAGGGCTGGTTAAAAGTATCAGGGCTGGTTAGTTAAAAATGGAGTGCATGAAGGAAGTAAATTAGATCAAATATATACATGTCACTAAACCTATGGAGAGACACTCAAAATAATAAGAAGAAAATTGTACAAGGTTTTTTCCTCTCTATCATATGAAAAAGAAAGCATATAGACTTTGACCAAAACTCCACACACACTGCACATGGCCCATACCCAGTTCCCACACCCATACCCAGAATGTCCATTCTAATTATATGACAACGAAAAAACCTACATACAAATAAACAGGAAATAAGCACAGAGCCATATGTGGTCTAGCTAGCTTCTCTTAGTGCCAGAGCTTATGAAAGATTTAGGAAGGCTTTGTGCTTTAGATGACAGGGTTGGTCATATGAAAAAAGGCTAGCACCAGGCTGCACACCCTTGAGTGTCTCTGGGCACCGCCTGCAACGTCTCCCACTGAAACTTGTTGAGGGAACCTATGCCATAAATTATGTTGTTGTATATCTACATTGTCTCACATGTTTTGCAAATCGATATCGCTCACTAGAAAGAACCTTTACTGAAAAAGGTAGAAGCTCACGCTATTTTATTGCCTGGTTAATGAAGCCATCGAGGCAAGTTACTACTGAGACTTTTCTCCCTTCCCTTATTTTTGCCCTAAGATTGGGCCTATCCTCAGAGAAGGGAGTGAACACTACTGATTAACTTTCCTCTTCTTTGGGGGTAGTGGAGGGGGGTTAGTTCAATTGAAAAGTCTGAGAAGTCCTGGGGTTGCATTGCGCATACCAGAATCACTGTATTAAAATAGTGAAGTTTGAAGTGACGTTTTTCCTTATCTCTTTTCCAAATTTATTCGGTATGGTTAGGCATCTTTTACAAGTTTTTCTTTAAGTTTTAAAACATGTATTTGTTGATCAGCTATATGCAGTCAGTACTGGGAGCCATTATTTCTATCTCTGGAGTTAATCTTATTGAAGCAACAGAACAAAAAGAAAAGGAGTTTGAAAAGAAGGTTTATCTAAGGATAAATAAATTCTAAATGTCTTGGTTTAGAGTAGGATTATAGGGGTGTTAAGTGAGCTACAGACCTTGATAACCTACTCCAAAGGATCTCACTGGAAAGATCCTTGAATCCCACTGAGCCTCAGAAATACCAGCGGGACTCAGTGATGTGATCCCCACAGACAGGTTACAGAGACAAAGCCGGCTCAGTCTTAAGCAGATAGCTCCTGTATGCTTACAGTCTGAGCAGTGTTTTTATAAAACACAGCCCATGGTTTACAAATGAGAATAAGGCAGACCCTGAAAAAAGTTTGTGATTGTTATTGCCTCATCTCTCAGCAGAAAGGCCCAGCATGAGCCTGGTGACTTCCGTGTTAACAGCACAGAGAGCTGACTTGAATTAGTTCATTTTTAAAGTTTGCTTTGCGTAAACTGCCTCATTCTCTTTTGAAGGAGAAATTTAGGGGATGATTCTATATTTATTTGTCTGTACATTCACTCAGTTAATCAAATATTTATTGAATACCTAGAATGTATCAGGAATTAAGAAAGATGTCTTTCTCTCTGGCACTGAGTGACCGGCTAGACTGAATAATGAACATTTCTCTTGGCTTTTTTGGTGCAGTGGAGGCAAGTTTTCTGAGATGCAGCCCACCAGGACGCTCCCCTCAGAGTCTTTCTAACAAGTCTTTAGGTTCAGGAAAACTGCACCAGACCTATCTCCCAGCAGCACAATGCTCATTAAACAGAATGAAAGGCTGTCTAATGAGGCCTTGCTCTCTGATACCAGAGCATGAATATATAATTGCACATTTGGGTCACCATCCAACTTAGTATGCTTGCCAGATTTGATGCTCTTTATAAAAGTTGAGATGAATTGGAGCATGAAGGGGGTCCATTTGAACAAACGCTGTATTCGTTTACAGAACTGTCTTAGTGTTTGTGATATCATGTCTCATTCTATTACAACTTAACTCCTAGAAATTCCCAGTATACTACTGTTACCCACAATGGTATTTGAATTTGGGGGGATTCTTCTATCCCTGCCATTAAGAAGTAATAATCCATGGTCTGTTTCTGAGTATATTCAACATAACGACATCAGAATCATGTTGCAAATCAGGCCAGGTTCTAGTGGTGTCGCCAGAATAGACAGGGTAGATACTCTTTAAGATTGCCCAAGCTGACTATTTGCCTTGACTTTCAAATGAGGGTTTCATTGGGATTTTTTTTTTAAAAAAACCGTAAAAATCTAAAGAAACATTAATTATTGTCCCTCATAATGTTGCGAATTCTTCAAAAGCAAGGACAGCAATGTGTTCATCTTTTTGCTCCTTTTTCATTATATCATCTGTAATACATGTTGAGTAAATTCTTAAAATGCATAAATGAACTGACATATCTGAAACTTCCTTTAATAATTTCTTATGGCATTGCCATTCAGGGTTTATTTAAATGTCTTTTGATCTGTTTGTATTTGCAGACCATTTGGGGGGTTAACATATTAGGATTCTTTTTTGGGGGGGAGAAGAATGGACCTTTTCCCCCTTTTTTATTGATTCGACAAATATTTATTGAGTGCGTCTCTGTACCCATCACACACAGAAGTTCTGGCTAAGACGGATAAGGTTCCTACTCAACTTGTAGAGCTTACCTATTTCTGTGGGTGTGGGTGGGTAGCCGACAGTTGGGGTTGGGAGATGTGCCATGAACAGCCATCAAATAAAATGAACAAGATAATTTTAGGTAGTAATAAGCCTGAGGAAGAAACAAGCGCAGATAATATATAATGGTCATGGGTGTGGGGAAGTGGTGTGGGGCTAGTTTAGTTTGGATGAAGTGGAATAGCCTTACCTAGAAGGCGACTTTCTCTTTGAAGAGTCTCTCTTCTGGGAAAACATTTAATCAGCTTTTGCAAGAATGACTTTTCCTAAAACCTGCTTTTCTCCAGTTGAATATATAAAGCTACTATTTAGTTTCACTAGGAGGCCAAAGAAATAGGCAGGTAAAAGGCATCCCCTTTATCTGTGAAAAAGAGATGCTCCTAGAAACTGGGAAGCAACCAAACCCTTTTTCATTCAACTTGTGATTATAATAACAAATTATTTTTAAAAATTCTAATGTGTGCTTCATTAGAGAAGGATCATGTGTCTCTTATTCACCATTATACGCCTAGCCTTCCACAATGCCTGATATAGAACATATGTATTTGTTAATGAATGAATTTATTGTGGTGGGAGGAGGAACAAGTAAGCTTCCAAAAATGTACGAAGCTAAATAAAAATGGAAAATGCATTATAAAGGTCAGAGATGTTCCCAGGAGACTTAACCGAGTTTCAGAAAAATTATTTGGGATAAGTTACAATAAAACTCCATTTAATTTGCTCAATTTTTTTTTAGAGTTCTCATGCCTTTTTTCTTTTCTATCCTGTAGCTCCGCCCGAAGAAGATTGTACATCAGTCACAGACCTGCCCAATGCCTTTGACGGACCAATTACCATAAGTATGTATCTCTTCTAACCTCGACTGAGTTTCCCCATTCTTGGGAAAGAGATCACATGCATTGTCTATGGTTTATATTTGAATAGAATAGCAGTCATTTCCCTAAAGCTGGGTACATTGCCTATGATTCTATGTCCCTTCCTCTTATCCTGTGATGGCTTGAAACTGCTATCGGATTTACCCCAATATACTATTTCTCAAACTTCAGTCATTTAAAAAGTACTTACACTTTTTGAGGGGGGACACTTCTGTGTCCCCAACATTATTTTTGATATTTTTCTTAACTGACCCATTCTTTGCCACTTAAAACACATTTATTCTTTTTAAAAACTGCAAATGAAAAACCAACATCAAGGTCATAATTAGAAGGTAACCTTAAAAATAAATCTAAATGTAAGGAAAATTAAATAATGTTCGTAAATTCCAGCTGCTGAAGGCTCTGAGCTGTGTGTGTTCTCTCTTACAGAGGGGGATTAATAAGCGGTAGGGGGAGGGGCATTCCAGCCTCCCAGACTTTGTGTTTGATTTAACTGCAGTATTGAAATATAATTATAAAGCATATAAACTTCCTGACATATAATTCAGCATTATTAATACCATGTTCACCTAAAATCATCTTGATTATCCCCAGAAGTAGGCATCTGGCACTATAGAAAACAGAATATCTCAACCAAAACGTTCAAGTAGGTCAACCTATTAACTCCGCTCGTATTGCCTGCGAACTTCATTTCTTTGAGAAGTGTCACAGTGTTAAGAGGGCCTGATTTCTGCATCCTAAAAGCCAGGCCCCTTAGTGTGCGTGGAAACACTGGCGGCAGTGGCAGGGGCATGAGAAACTTCCTGGACCATACAAGTGCAGCCTTCCATTGCATGTTGTCCCTGGCCTGTGCCTTGCAAAAGAAAGTGGAGGCCTGCAATGTGAGATGCACTGTCTCGGTCTGGTTTGAAATTCTAGTTCCTTACCACTTGGATGAACTTAGAGGAATGACTTACTCTTTCTGAACCTGTTTTCTCGTTGGGGTAATGGAACAATATATGAGATGTGTCATGAAAATTAAGAAAGATACTTGGCTCATAGTAGATGCTCAGTATCCCATTTCCTTGATCCCCACAGATCTCTTTTGAAGTTCAGATCTATACAAGTTTGATCATATTTCCTTATCATCTCCTCATCTGCAGAGATTGTCAGGGTGATTGAGACTTTGGAATAATTTTAAATTTATGTTTTATTAATAGTCCCACTTGGGCAAGCCAGATAGGTGGACAAAAGGAACTTTAGTCCTACCTGTGTAATACAGCAGAAAATAATTTCAGCTAAATGCACACTTGTGCAGTCAGGGGCCCAGACTTGACGGTAACAAATACTTTTAGGGAATAACAATGAATGAATTCATCCTTGCTTTTTTTCCTCCTGTCTCTTCTAGTCATCTGCTTGTTTAACCCAAAGATTTCAACCTTTATATACATCCATATTTCTAAATTTCTAGGCTGAATTTCATAGCTCTGTCAATATTTAGGCATGCTAATTTCTTAGCCAGGAGTTAGAGTTCTCTTAAATTGACGAAAGTTAGCCCTTAGAAAGAAAATCGAATTCTTCTTAGATTTGTAAATGTGTATTCCCTGCTGAGGCTAGTAGCATCTTTGTCTCCTACTCCAAATCCTTTCTGGAAATAGCTAGAATTAATAACTACAAAGTTTACATGTTCTTAGGAAGGGAGAGTAGGGACCAGGCGAGAGATTTTTCATTTATCGAGCATCCGTACTTTGAATACAGTGCTAGCATTTTAAATACAATATCGTAAAGTGCTCCTAACAGAAAGTAGTATTATCTCTATTTTACAAATGACAAAACCGAAGCTTAGAGAGTTGCCTACCTTGTGGGGAGCCACACAAAACTGGAATTCAAACGTACGGACTCCCAAACACATCCTCTTTTCCCCTCCAAGGTGTGCGAGAGGGCAGGGGAGAAGTTTTCTCAGTGCTTCAGCTACTTATCCCCCCACTAGATAGGTAATTAAGTGTTGCTTTTCTTAATAAGAAGAAAAATAGCTTTAACTGTGTTATATGATCATTCTCAGTCTTTTCCATGCTCAGAAAGTGTCAGCTGTCAAGTTCTGAAAGTGCTGTCTCTTTCTCCCAGCTATCGTCAACCGTGATGGCACCCGCTACACCAAGAAAGGTGAATACAGAACTAACCCCGCAGACATCAACTCTAACTCTAGCAACTCCACTGAGGACGATATGAGCAGTGGATTCTCCAGTGAAAGAAGTACTTCAGGAGGTTACAGCATCTTCCACACCCACCTTCCAACTGCATACCCAACCCAAGACCAAGACAGTTTCTGGGTGTCCGACAATCCAGAGGAAGCCCCTACTACCAGTAAGGAGAATGAATCACTGTGCTCTCCTACAGCGACGTGTTTGCAAAAACACTCGTGATCCTCTTGAGTGATATGCACTCATAAGTAGATCATCTCCTGTTTCTAGAAGCTGGTGACGCCATCTGGGGAGGTGGGCAATTGTGGTCGTCAGTGCCCTGGATGCATTGATTATTCCTGCCAAAAATTTTTTTCCATCTGCAACTGTTTTTTTAGCTTGGGATAAGAAGTGCCATATCGAAAGGCTTTTTTTTTT